GTTGCGAGGGGCCTGCTGTCTCTCCTTCCCCACTGCTGGGGCTTGGGACTGGGGCAGGAACTTTTCCAACCCAAATATTTTAACTGACCTCTCGAGTCTTCAGCTTCCCTAAGGCCTTAGTGGCTCAGTGCTGTAGAGGAGAAGACCTTGGTGCCCTGCTCACATCTGGCATACTCAGGGCCTGCCAGAGCACACAGTCAGCAGTGGGAGAAGCAAACACGTGGAATGGGGTGCTCTGAGAACTATGAGGGGCACAGGGAAACATATTAGGGTCTCTCACCTACGTAAGTGGTAATGTGCCTGGGGAGAGATGGGGAATGAGAGCTTCTGCCCACGCACAAGTCATTTGCTTTTGATGCTGCCCCTCTAAGACATCACTTAATATGACATTAATTAGTTAATGTTTGCAAAGTGCTTTGAACATGAAAAGTGCTGTATAAGTGCTGAATATTAGTACTAATTATTATGGCATGGAGGCTGGCAAAGTCTGAAGAGCATTCCCCACATCTAATTTCAGGCCAGAGCTGCTTTGCTGCCTCATCCCGTAAAAGCCAGACAGAGAAGGGAAGAAGCCTCTGCACCCTATGAGGAAGTGCACCCCTCATGGAGGGGGTGATCTGTGCCCCCCCTTCACTCCAGGCAGGATATTGTGTGGGAAGTGTAGCCACATCTCCCCAGTGCCTCACTGGCACTGGTGAGGATGAGGGAGTACACTCTTGCCCCAAGCTCTGCAGCAGGCCAGGATTGGAAACATCACAGGGTGGATGGAGGAAATGCAAGGAAGTTCTTTCAGCTTATCCCACCCATGAAGAAGCACTCAGCATGGATGGAGGTTTCAGAACCAGGCAAGGAGATGAGGAGGAGGTGAGAAAGTTTTGGGGTCTGTGCACTAGACAGGGTGGGAAGGCAGGTGCCTCCCAGATGTGCATGTGGCAGGGCTGGGAGCTCCCTGGTGTCCCCCAGACAGGCTCCTGGCCTGCTTTGCTTCCTCTCCCCTCTCTGTGCCCTCCTTTTTGGTGAGGATGCTGCTGGGAAGGGTCCCTGGAGGAGGAGCAGAAATGGGTCAGTGGGTGCCCCCAATTACCTTGGCAGTGAAGCGTCCTGCCAGCTGGAATGCTGGCGTGGGTGTTAGGTGCTACCAGGGGCCCAAAGAAGAGGGATGAGCTGGAGAAGGTTGTGCTAGAGGGGGTGCAGGGAGGGCCAGAGTGGGGACCCACTGGTGCTGGCTAGGGGGTACAGATGCTGAGCACAGGTATCAGCATGTGTGAGGTGCATTGGGCAGCAGGGAGAACTGCAGTGCTGTGATTGCACTGTGACCCAGCAGTGTCTGCTGGGACTCCTGGCGCCAGCTGTGCCTTCCTTGCTGCTGCCAAGTTAACTGCCCTGCTCCGACCTGCTCATTCAGCTCGAGATCTCACTCGTCTGCTGTGGGTCACACGCAGAGGTGCTTTGTCTCTCAGGTGCCTGTCCTTCCACATCATCCCTCCGGGCTAGCCGTCACGGAGTCTGATGAGGATTCTGGTCTGCTTCAGAAAGCTGTGGAGGGTCTCACAGGAAGTGAGACCCCAATGCAGGGTGAAGGGAAGCTCATTGGTGACACCCTTGCTACCAGTGGGTGAGTGGGGGGTGAGGGGACATGCCTAGTCCCCTTTGTGGGGATCTCACCTCCCTGCTCCGCTGACACCTTACCTGTTTCTGGGTCTGCATTTCCAGCTGTAAGTTATTCCCCCTCTCCAAGCTCCTATGCTGAACATTTCCACCAGGCACTCACTGCCAACCCAGCTACTGAGGAAATTGCCATGAGTGTCTGAACAAAACCCCGAAAGAAAGCTGGAGTCACTTTCTTTTTCCTTTTTGAGCCCTCCAGTGTGTATGAATTGAGACCTTGCTGGCAATTCTTGGCTTCCACTGTTTTCCAGTAGAATTGGAGCATCAGCCTTTGTGGTGTCTTCACCCCAGGAAGAATGGAACAGGAGGGGAGATGCTGGAGACTAAAGAGAGGCTGGAGCAGATGTTTTGGAGGGCAGCAGAGAAAGCCCAAGTATGACTTGAGTTTACCCACACTTGCTTAAAATAAAAAGCTATGGCAAAGCCCTCTCCTCTTGTCTCATCCGTTCTTGTATCTCAAAAACCATATTGAAGCAAGACCATCCTCTGAGTTTCCAATGAGGATGAAATTCTCCACAGCAGTACATTCTCTTGCTGGGTTTTGAGGTACTCTTCTGGCACTACAAATTCCCCCCCTCCCCGCCCCCAATAAATCCACATAAACGAAGACCAAGTTATATTAAAAAAAATCTTTATTTCATGTACCAGGATTTTTTTTGTCATTTTCTCTTTTTAAAATTTTTTTTCTTTTTAACAGTCTGAAAAAAACCCACGAAATAAAGAAAATGGAGGTTGGTTTCTTGTACTGGTTTGAGCTGGACACGAGCAACACCCTGGGGAAAAATCTTCCCCTCCAGCCCTTGCCTCTTGCCCACGCTCTCCCGGCTCCCTCCCGCACTCTTCCCCTTCCCTCCTGGCCCCGGGGCACGCTCAGCCCTGTGAATGCTCCCCAGCTCCGAGCAGTGCTGGGTGGGGATGGAAAGCCCAAAGCCACCTTCCCTCTACGCTGGAATCTGGGGAACTGGCTTTAACTTATTCCTCGGGGGGCATTGGAGGGGGTGGATGTTCCCTGTGTATCGTTCTGAAGGGCTGGGGGGCCACGGGAGGGGATGTCAGCCCAGCCGAGGCGCTCGCATCCGCCTCTTGCCCCGTGATGCCGTTTCTGGGGGTGACTGTGCCTCTGCTGCCCCCCGCCCTACCCCAGAGCGGGGAAGGGGGGGTGAAGCAGCAGTGGGTCGGGGGAAGCGGGGAGGATCTGGCTGCTTTAAAGCAGAACCCCCGCTGGGACCTGGAGCGGGGACCGCGCAGCTCCTAAAACTGGAGCAGCAGGAACGGGGACGGAAAAAAAGTTGAAAAGTGGGTCTGAGCTGCCGAAAGGCTCAGCGGCCCGATCCTGCAAACTCTCGGCTTTGTGCCTGCCCCGGGCGCTTATGCTTTCGGGGGTCAGCCCCAAAGGGGTCCCGTCCTCGCCCCGGGCTGGCCGGTGTCTGTGGGTGTCACAGGCACCCCATCAGCCCTGCTGCCACCTCCCCTCCCGCCTCCATCGGCAGCGGCTCTCGTGGAGGCAGCTGCATGGAAAGCCGGCGCCCGGTGCGCCCTTCCCCGGCTGGCAGGGAGGGAGGGGGCGGCAGCCAGGCCAGGGGGCCCGGGGCGATGGAGGGACCCGGCTCGCCTTGCCTTGCTGCTGTGGAGGGGAGCTCGGCAGTCGGGGACCCCCAGGAGGAGGAGGGCACAAGCCGCTGGGCGTGGGGACACCCGCTGGGCGTGGGGACACCCGCTGGCTTGGCGCTTCTCCCCGGCACGGCTCGGGGCTCGGGGCTCGGGGCGCGGGGCTCGGGGCTCGGGGCTCGGGGCTCGGGGCGCGGGGCTCGGGGCTCGGGGCTCCGGGCTCGGGGCTCCGGGCTCGGGGCGCTCTGAGCGGGGGCCGGCAGGCGGCACGGGCCGAGCCGGGCAGCGGGTGGCCGGCTTTGGGTCAGGGTGCGCGGAATGTGCCCAGGCGGGGACGGGAGCGATTTCAGGGGGCGGCTGGGTGGCTTCACCGTGCCCCGGCATGGCTGCAGCCCCACTGATGTGACCCAAGGGGAATCTGGGCAGATTTGAGGGGGGCATGGCTACCGTGGGGAGCCTCTGGAGCATTCACAGGAGAGCATGGGCCCACCAGGGCAAGCGTGTGTGAGCACGGGCACACGTGTGCGTGAGTGCTGTCCCCCCCACAGCATCCCATGTGTGTCCCCCCCACAGCATCATCACCCTGAAAGGATGGGAGCCCCAGCTGCCCTCTGCCAGCGCCCCCACCCTCTACCTGTGCTTCCCACACAGCTCCCTGCTGCCTCTTTTCTTTTTTTTTTCACAGTTTAAAGCTGAAGAAAACAAAAATGAAAAGAAAAAAAATACTATCTGTTCTTGCAAGTAAATCCACTTATTATATTTACATTTATTTATAGCTGTTGTTTTATTAAAAAATTGCCACTTTATTTTTTTAAGAAACTTCTTTTGTCCTTTTTTTTTTTTTTTTTTTTTTTTTTTTTTTTTTTTTTTTTTTTTTTTTTTTTTTTTTTTTTTTTTTTTTCTCTCTCTGTGTGTGTGTCTTTATTTACTGTGTCTGTTTGTTTTTTGCACTGTCACCATTAACCCCAGGGTCCCCAGGGCTGGGGAAGTGGGGACCCCCCTGGGGACACTGTGGAGGGGTGACTCAGCAGCAGCTCCTGCACTCCCTAGGGTCACTTTAAACCCCTGTAGATCTGTGGAGGATAAGCAGATCCCCACGAATCCCAGGGGAATGGAGTGGATCCCCATGGGTCTCAAAGGAACAGAGTGGGTCATGGCTAACTCCGGCACCCAGGATCCTCCATAACTGGCCCAAGGACACCGAAGTCACTGGCAGCCAAACCCCCATCCCCTGTTCCGCAAGAAGCCTGTGCTGGATTGAAGGTAAGTGGGAAACAAACCGTAAAATAAAATAATAAAACCTCCCAAAATTAAAAAAGCTGCCTCCTCCTCCTCTTCCTCCCACTTGATTTATTGTCATTTTTTATTTCTTGGTTCCCTTTTATTTTTTTTAAATCTGTTTTTATTAAATGTTAAAATAATGGTACATGGGAAATCATGCATTTTCTTTTAAATTTATTTCTATTTTTTTAAATCTCTTTCTCTCTGTTTTAAGGATTTTATTTTTTTTCTTTTTTCTTTTGCTTTTTTTTTTAAGAATTTTTTCACTGTTGTCTCTTTCCTCATGTTTCCTTTTTGTTTGTGTAGTTTTTTTTCGTTCACTCGCTTGTTTATCTGCTTATCTGCTTGTTCCTTTGTT